TGCTGAGAACGCGGATTTTGCCGGTATTTGAATGCACATTTGGACTATTTCTGCCAAACGGAACTACAATTTGCAGTAAGACATTAGACCTGAGACCCATAAGAATATATACATAACAGGACTCTAATACATATGGTTCCGTTCGACATAAATACGTCCATTAATAAGGAAAGTTATGACCGCATAGAACCTGCAAAAATAGCGGCACATAGATGTAAATACTCTCCCATACCTAGGTACTCTATGGTAACTACGTCATCCGAATTTTGGTACATTTGATGGTTCCATCCAGAGCCTTTAATATTGATTGCTTTTCCGTAAGTTTTAAGGGCTCTCTCAACGGCGACAAATCGAATGGCGTAGCCACTAAACCCGTCTATGAGAAAAACGTCGGGTCAAAATCGGCCATGTCATCCAGGCAGTCACTCCTTGATGTTTCCTCTTACGGAGTATGGCGTGCATTATTAAGTTTCAAATGACAGCGTTACGGTTGTATCTGCTGGTCAAGATTGCCAGGTAGCTTTATCAAATATGCACAATTTACATTCTGTTTTGCGATGGAAAATGCTGCTTTTTGAACTGAGCATGGCAGCGTTCTTGCTATGGTAGCGTCATTACTTGCATTACGCACCGTATCGATGCCGTGTCATCGGCAGTACCCGGAGCTTTCCATGTAATTTGTCTCGTACAACCTGACTCCCTTTGCCCTTTTATACGATCTTCAATTCATGATTGCCAACCCAGCGGGCCGATTATTGAAATTGATAGACAAAGCTATAGACAAAGATGACAAAAGCGATATGGAGGGAACCTATTGGTGGAAGCTGGTGGTTACAATGGACAAAGGCAGTAGGAATAGACTAACTAACGGCAACCCACGAGAAACCCGACATGTTAGTCTATCATTTTCTCCCTTAGTCTATAAGAACCACACATTTCAACCGATAGGATCGCTCCATACTCCTCATGTCTTCTTTGTCTATAGCTTTGTCTATCAATTTCAATAATCAGTCCGCTGACCAGCAGGCTGATTATTGAATCGATAGACAAAGCAATAAACAAAGAAGACACAAAGGATTTAGAGGGATCCTATTGGTAGAAGCTGGTGGTTACAATGGACAAAGGCAGTAGGAATAGACTAACTAACGACAACCCACGAGAAACCCGACAGTTAGTCTATCATTTTCTCCCTTAGTCTATAAGAACCACACATTTCAACCGATAGGATCGCTCCATACTCCTCATGTCTTCTTTGCCTATAGCTTTGTCTATCAATTTCAATAATCAGTCCGCTGACCAGCAGGCTGATTATTGAATCGATAGACAAAGCAATAGACAAAGAAGACAAAAAGGATTTAGAGGGATCCTATTGGTAGAAGCGGGTGGTTGCAATGGACAAAGGAGGTAGGTAAGAGACTAACTAACGGCAACGCACTAGAGATCCGACAGTTAGTCTATCATTTTCCCCCTTAGTCTATGAGAACCACCCATTTCAACCAATAGGATTGCTTTATACCCCCTAAGTCTTCTTTGTCTATAGCTTTGTCTATCAATTTCAACAATCGGCCCGCTGCAGGCTGATTATTGAAATTGATAGGTAAAGCGATAGACAAAGAAGACAGAGAGAAATTGGAGCGATCCTATTCGTGGAAAGCGGGTGGCTACAGTAGACATAGAGGTAGTACGTGATAGATTAACCAACGGCAATCCATGAGAGACCCTTCAGACGTATTATGTTCGAAACTAAAAAAATGTTTCCGTTCTTTTCTTGTTTTCTTTACTAGATTCTGAACAGCCAATGAGAGAGTAACGTTCGAGGTTGCGACTGAAAGCAGTGTTTCCTAGCGTTGTTTTGGAAAACAACACAAAAACAACTTGCCTCGGAACACGTTGCAGTTGTTGAAAATTACACAGAGGTCTTAAAACAAGACAAAAAATGGGACAAAAATTGTTAGACGGTTAAAGAACAGTTAACGGTTTAATGGTCAAATGGTGAAACGCTTTGCAGCGGATGAATCTATGGTACGTGTAGACTTAAAATTGCGAAAAATCAAAATCTTGGATGATTCACGTTTCGAAGTATGGCAATTTGAAATTTTAATAGCAAATACAAATTTATATGGTTTTGGATCAATTTTCTCCTCTATTAGTACGACAGCTCATCGGAAACATGATGATAGTAGAATAAAAAATATTGAAATATACGTGGCTCAGTTGTCCAGGAAGAGAANTTTTTTTTTTTTACCCTGGGCTGGAGCTTCTAAAAGACTAATTAGTTAACCATCATGTACACCTGATTATGTTTTTGTGGAAGCCGGCACCACCTCGCACAGAAAATTTTTCTTTTAGGGATTTTTATGACCCCTCCCCCCACACCGTTCCTTCGCCTCGGGTGTCTGTTGAGAACGCGGATTTTGCCGGTATTTGTATGCACATTTGGACCTATTTCTGCCAAACGGAACTATTTGCAGTAAGACATGAGCCCTGAAACCCATAAGAATATATGCATAGCAGGGCTCACGTCATAATGCACATAGTTCCGTTTGGCAGAAATACGTCCATTTATAAGGAAAGTTATTACAGCATCGAACCTGCAAAAATAGCGGCACATAGATGGAAATACTCTCCCATGCCTATAGGTATTCTATAGTTACTACGTCATCCGAATTTTGATACATTTGATGATTTCACCCCGAGCCCTTGATATTGATTGCTTTTTCGCAAGTTTTAAGGGCGCTCTCAACGGCGACAAATCGAATGACGTAGCCACTAAACCCGTCTATGAGAAAGACATCGGGTCAAAATCGGTCAAGTCATTCAGGCAGTCACTCCTTGATGTTTCCTCTTACGGAGTATGGCGTGCATTATTAAGTTTCAAATGACAGCGTTACGGTTGTATCTGCTGGTCAAGATTGCCAGGTAGTGTTATCAAATATGCACAATTTACATTCTGTTTTGCGATGGAAAATGCTGCTTTTTGAACTGAGCATGGCAGCGTTCTTGCTATGGTAGCGTCATTACTTGCATTACGCACCGTATCGATGCCGTGTCATCGGCAGTACCCGGAGCTTTCCATGTAATTTGTCTCGTACAACCTGACTCCCTTTGCCCTTTTATACGATCTTCAAGTCATGGTTGCCAACCCTGACCAGCAGGCTGATTATTGAATCGATAGACAAAGCAATAGACAAAGAAGACAAAAAGGATTTAGAGGGATCCTATTGGTAGAAGCGGGTGGTTGCAATGGACAAAGGAGGTAGGTAATAGACTAACTAACGGCAACGCACTAGAGACCCGGCAGTTAGTCTATCATTTCCCCCCTTAGGCTATGAGAACCACCCATTTCAACTAATGGGATTGCTTTATACCCCCTAAGTCTTCTTTGTCTATAGCTTTGTCTATCAATTTCAACAATCGGCCCGCTGCAGGCGGATTATTGAAATTGATAGGTAAAGCGATAGACAAAGAAGACAGAGAGAAATTGGAGCGATCCTATTCGTGGAAAGCGGGTGGCTACAGTAGACATAGAGGAAGTACGTGATAGATTAACCAACGGAAACCCATGAGAGACCCTTCAGACGTATTATGTTCGAAACTAAAAAATGTTTCCGTTTTTTTCTTGTTTTCTTTACTAGATTCTGAACAGCCAATGAGAGAGTAACGTTCGAGGTCGCGACTGAAAACAGTGTTTCCTAGCGTTGTTTTGGAAAACAACACAAAAACAACTTGCCTCGGAACACATTGCAGTTGTTGAAAATTACACAGAGGTCTTGAAACAAGACAAAAAATGGGACAAAAATTGTTAGACGGTTAAAGAACAGTTAAAGGTTTAATGGTCAAATGGTGAAACGCTTTGCAGCGGATGAATCTATGGTACGTAAGAATGCGGATGAATCTATGGTAGACTTAAAATTGCGAAAAATCAAAATCTTGGATGATTCACGTTTCGAAGTACGGCAATTTGAAATTTTGATAGCAAATGCAAATTTATATGGTTTTGGATCAATTTTCTCCTCTATTAGTACGACAGCTCATCGGAAACATGATGATAGTAGAATAAAAAATATTGAAATATACGTGGCTCAGTTGTCCAGGAAGAGAAAATCCATGTTTGAAATTTCAAGCACATCCCCTTTTTGAGAAGGCATTCAAAAAGGCTCTTAACATTAAAAAATTACGTTATGAAAATACAAATGGAGCAAAGTTTAAAATTCATAGATGGGTATGGAAATAACGTTTTGGGATATTGGTCAGATCCAAACTGTGAGAGTTTTTACAGTCAATTTTTAGAGCAATGAGAACGCTACACTGCGGTACTGAGGAAGAACGCCGTACGAAAATTCAAGAGTTGCCAAATTGCCTCGTATAAAGCATGTATTTTTTAGGACGATTACGCGCACTTTTTCTTAAAATCAGACATTTCAGACAAAATTGCGAACAAAAATACCTGAAAAATTGAAGAAAAAATTCACGATTTCCCCAGTAAATTAAGGATTTATTGAAGGAAATATGGCAACATCTGAAAGTTCACACGGCGTTCTTCCTCAGCGCGGCAGTACACGTACCATAGATTCACCCGCTCCAAACCGTTTTTGGGCTCCCTTCGGTAATTCGTCGTACACGGAGAAAAAAACTTCGTGCGTAGACCNAAATACATCGGATTAGCCGTTTCTCGTACCGGAGAAAAATTTTACTTACATTCTGCAGGGGGTAATAGTCGCAAAAACACCAAAAATGCCCAAAAATGGCCATTTTTCCGGGTAAAATCGACTTTTCCGGCAAAGTGGAGGGTGATGGGAAAAAACGGAGGTCATATTCGGATTCAGCGCCTCAAAATACATAAGGATCACCTTATCTCGTCCTGGAGACATTTTAGTCATTTTTTTTTGTTGCACAGTGTAATTCGTCGTACACGGAGAAAAAAACTTCGTGCGTAGGACCCGAAGTTGAGGTCAAATGGATCTCTGAAGTTTTCGGATCACGTATCTAAAAACTTGAGGTCGAGCTGCCGAAGTTCGGGTCAGACATCTGAAGTACTTCGATATACATCGAAGGGTTCGGGTCACACACCTGAAGTACTCCGGTACATACCGAAGTGCCTCGATGTCTGACCCGAACTTCGGCAGCTCGATCTCAAGTTTTCGGATGCGTGATCAGAAAACTTCAGAGATCCACATGACCTCAACTTCGGGTCCCATGCGCGAAGTTTTTTTCTCCGTGTATACGTTGTACTCGCAATGGTTCACTGAAAAAGAAGTGAAGTTGATTTAAAATTCTGGATGTAAAATAGTGTGAGAGAACTTACAAAATGCTGCACAATCAACTGCTACAGCAGTTACTTTAGCAATGTCAAGATTTAAAACTAACTGCCGAAGCGGGTAATTTAGCATTTGGCGAGTCCTCGCACACTTTTATTACATTCGTAATGTTGAAACAGCTTCAATTTTTTTCGGTATTCAATTTGACAACGTAGGGATAGTAGTTATTCTTGCAGTACATATCCTCCAGTCTACTCAGTTGCATTAAAACTCTCCGGACTCACTGGGGAAATCTTCGGACACACTATCGTGACCCCCATCTGGACTATCCTCCGCGTCGGTGGCGCTCGCATTAAATGGTCGTGTGCAAAATTTCAGCGAAATTGGATAGTTTTCATAAATCAGCGACGGTCTTGAATTTTGTAGCTTCAATTACAAGGAGCACACGCTCATGCGAGCGAGGGGACCTATAATACTGGCGGGACTCATTATCGCCGCGTAAAACAGGGACAACGGACAGCCTGTATTGATAATTCTGCCCGCCGGCGCTGTTACGCCGCGCTTCGAAAACATATTGAAAGACGTTAATATTGATTACCCCGTGATATTCGGCGTGCGATGGCGGGATGTAAACATGTGATATTCGCTAATTAAAATTTGGAAATGACAGGCCTGTCCCGGGGCTGAGCGGTCCAGGACACATCAAAAATCAGAGGAAACATGAATTGCATTTGGACCGCGCTGAGCAGAAAGGCACCAAGTCACATCAGCTATACTGCCGTGCTAAGTAAAAACGTCGTATGAACATTCGAATGCTGCCAAGTTTTCCCTCAGAAACTATGTATCATTAAGGAAAGTTATGAATGTTTTCCCCTAAAATTGTCAGACTTTTTGGATCGAATTACGAATTAAATTCTCTAAAAATTGGAGGTGGGGCTGTCAAAAATTTTCCTGAAAAGTTGTAATTTTTCGAAGGAAATTTGGCAATGCCTTATGGCTCATAATGCGTTCTAACTTAGCGCGGCAGTATAACCAAATACAACTGATGGATTTAATTTTTATAAGAGGACGTTTGTGCAAATTTGTTGGAAATTTTTAAGGAAGTTGCCTCGAACTATGCAGAAAACTTACTGAAATTTGCAAAAAAAAAAAAAAAAAAAATCCGCACAACCGTTCTGAAGTAAAAAATAAATCACTCAATTAAATTTGACAATAGCTGATGTCGCTTGGTTCTTTTCTGCTTAACATGGTCCAAATGCAATCCATGTTTCCTCTGATATTCTATGTGTTCTGGACTGCTCAGCCTCGAGACAGGCCTGTCATTTCCAAATTTTAATTAGCGAGTATCACATGTTTACTTTTGAGTAAGTAGGAAAAGAAAATATATTTGTTATTCTTGGCATTTCTTAAGGATGAAGATGCCTGAATTTTACAGCTTTGTAATCGAGCTGGTTTCCCTGTATTAAATACAAACCTCAGGAGACTTCGCATGAGAGCGGAGAGCAAAATTTTCCAGGAGAGCAAAAAACTATGTAAGCGATAAAAGTGAAATCATTAAAAAATAGAGTCAAAAAAGTTACCTGAACTTCTAGAGCGTGGTAAGTAACTATTAGTCCAAGAAGAATCACAGTTGAGACAGAAATAAGCGTTTTCAAAGATGTAGAATAGAACGATGACTGAAACAGAAAATCAAACATTCAAATCAGAGAAGCGGGAAGGAACTAGCGGTTGATGTAAGTTTGACTGTTTGAAAATTTTCATCGTTTAGGTCTTGTATTTTCAGATGTTTTTTTAGCGTGTCTCCTTATTTGTTCGAAGATAATGGGGGTGCCTGCATGACCGGGTCGTGACGTTACGTATGATATTATTTTATTATTTTTAAAGGTGGCCGATTGAATTTGGAAAAATTTCATTAGATTTTTTGTCTTTCGATACATTCTAAACGTTTTGCCAAGATAGAATTTATTAAATTCGAAGATATTTTGGATAAAACCACGGTATTAATTCAAACCAACCATACATAAGCAATAATAATTAAAGCGATGAGAATCAAAAGCTACAATCTCCATCCAGGTGTCTAAAAATTCGGCAGATATTTTAAATTATTATAAATAGGGGCGGGGAGCCTTGAATCTGTTTGCGTTCTTTCTAATTTTTTTTTTTTTTTTTTCTTTTTTTTTTCTTCCACAATTATTAGCGAGAAAAATATGATAGTGTTTTACGCGATGAGTAATATCGGTTACTCCATTTAACAAAGTATGAAAACGTCGGTCAAACTCTTAGGTAGGGGAAGCGAGATTGCGACTTTTCATCCTCAGTGCTTCAATTGATTTAGGAACAAACGGAAAAAAATAAAAAAAAAGTAAAAAAAAAGTTGAAACTCTGCAATCAAAATAGTATTTCCCAAGTTCCACCATCGATACCTTTGTTGATCTAACTCACAAGTGCACTCATGTCGAGGGTAGTTGCTAATAACGAGTGCGTATTTTTCCCCCTCTTGAACCCGTGAGAAATAGCAGCGGATGATGATGGCTTTGTTTACGCAACGTTTACGCAACGGTTTATCCCGACTTATGCCGTGTTATGGAAAAACGCCGTACGAACAATTGAATGTTGCCAAGTCTCTGCCGATAAATTATGTGTTTTTCAAGATAGTTATGAATATTTCTTTTTTAAATTGTCAGACATTTCAGATAAAATTGCGAATAAAAATGCGTAAGAAATCGGAATGAGAATATTCACATGTTTTCCGGAAAATACGCACTTTTTCAAAGTGGATTCGGCAACGTCTGAGAGCTCATACGGCGTTCCTTCTTAGCAACGCAGGCTTACGATCGAAGTTTTATGGCCGCAGCTCCGTGTCTAATTTGGGAGTTCAGAAGTAGTGATAAAAGTGTGCACGCATAAACTCGCGGTCAAGGAGGGGAACCAGATCTTCAAAATTATCGTTTGATTGAGGGCAGGGAATAATTAAGATTAGGTGACTTGTTGAGCCAAACGCCATGCATATTAATTCAGGCAATCTAGCAGTCCTCCCTTCACGCGAAAAGAGAAAAAGTAATTGTTCTGCACGAAAGGTCAACTGTTGCGTGGGAAAATATCAACCACCCGAGTTATATGGACGTATTTAAATCAAAGGCAAGTATGACCAATCTGACATGAGCCATGAGACCCATAAAAATACATGCATGGCAGGGTTCATGTCATAATGAACATAGTTACTTTCGATTTAAATACGACCATCTATTTTGCCGTGCCAAAAAAACGTCGTATGAGCCTTCAGGAGTTGCCAAATTTCTCCTGATAAAACACTAATTTTTAGGGAACCTTATGAATATTTTCCCTTGACATTTTTGCATATTCCAGATCAAACTGAGGATGAATTCATTGAAAAAGTGGAGGTTAAATATTCAAAAGTTTCCTTGAAAATTCGTATTCAAGTAAGGGAAGTCCGGTAACACCTAAAGGCTTATACGGCATTTTTCCTTAGCACGGCAGTGCTAGGAAGTTCAGCGCTCTAAATTTCATCCATCTAGGAGGACTGAGTGAGGGATATAATTTTTTATTACTGGAAAAATCTTGTAAAAAAATAACATTTTCAAAGGTCAGCAATGAGAGAGAGTTCAATCATTCTTCTTCTTTCCATTACAATCTCTCATGCAAGATAGCTGTTTGATGAATAGAATTGTTCTCTGACAATGATGACGAGTGTGATAAAATAGTCGCAAAAATATACAGTAGGATAAATACAAGCTGGAAAAATCGATTGCTATTTTATATTTGACCATTCACGGGAAATTGAGGGACCGCACCAACGATAGACTAACAATAGAGACCCAACTACTAGTGTCAGGAAAAATGGTTCACGAATGTTTTTGCGCAAGACATGCTAAAAATGATATAGCTTGCGGTTAAACGAAGGTAAATTTAAAAAAAAATTAATTAAAATTCATTTGTCATTTTTCGACTTTTCAGAGTAAAAGTTCGATCCTCTTTTTGATTCACAACCACTTCAAAGTTACTATTTAGAGACAGGAAATATAAACATAAACATAATGATAGCTAAAGTACAAGACCACGTATTTCCGTTTGCGACGTTACATATACTTATTTTCATGCTCTATTTTATCTTTTGGAAGACTAATTAGGGTAATTCCTTCAAAACTTTCTTTGTTTTTCTTCTCTGTCAGCAGAATATTCTGAACAATTTTCAAGCTGTGGAATGAACTTTGTTCCTCTTCGAAAAAATAAAATAGGGACGGAAATTTTGAAACACAGCGGTAGAGGGATGTGGTTTTGCCATTAATTTGCGTGTGGGTCATTTTTAAAAATTTACTTACACAATTGGTCCGATATTCAATAAAAGACATTTTTCATATTTTAAAGCTGTATGTTTATTCTATACTGATCTCTTTCTGGGTTTTCTAGGTTTTTCCTTAATAGAAAGAGAGAGAATGAGAAAGAAATTACTCACAACCTTACTTCATTTTTTAAAAAAGGAGAGGGTTCTAGAGATGCCTGACAGGTGAGTGGCATGAGGACCAAAAAAAAGAGGAGGGAGGTCAAACAAAAAAGTCAAAAACATCATCTGACGACACTTTAACACGCAATTGGCTAGTTTCTTTGTAGTCTGTAAGTTTCAGGGGTAAACTTGTCTAAAAGTAAGTTTTGCTGTCGTGATCTCGGCTCTCCTTATAACCAGTTTGAGAGAAATTCTTACCGTCAGAGACTTTCACTTTACAGGTGCGGAGACTAAATGTTTGCGAGACGACTATTTATTGTGTATGGACTAATACTGAAAATGCCATATTCGCGAGTAGAGTACTAACAATTGAACGGTTCAACAACACCTTTTATGCTGGTCCATTGTTGTTGCTCACTGATGTTTGCTCAGGAAGTTTCATCTTAAAATGGGGCAAAGCCACTGTTTGCGAGTAACAAAAGGGTAGGTTGAATAGAGCTACATCAGATCGTTCGGTCACAAAATTGTTCAAACATGTTTCCCGTCCTAGTTCCACATCGGTCAAATATTTAACGGATCGGAATTCAATTTTATCAGAGCTACGGCCACTCAGACATCAAGGGAGAAAAAGCCAAGGCGAGCAACTGGACAGAAACATAATGTGATAAATTTAATAGTCAAGTATATTTACAACTTTTTTCTGTCTTTTTTACCTTCTCTTTAGGGAAAAGATAGATGAACAGGAAGAGTCAAATAATGAAATTTAGTGGAAACGATGGTAAGTCCGCTGTTCATCGGATCGGAACACCGAATTTGGAACAGTGTGATCACTTTTTGACTGGAAAACGAGTTTTTCAGACCTGATGATACATGAAGAATAAATGTGTGAGCGACGAAAAGTAGACATTAACACGGCAGTTTAATTTGTCTTCTTTGATTCCTTTTTGCGGTAGTTCTTCTTCAAATTTGTTTCAAGGGTAATCATGTTGGAGCCAATAGATTTTTCTCTGTGATGTTAAGAGCAAACATTTTTGGAATATACATATACACGAGAACAAGTTGAAAAAGTGGCAACTTTCCAGTAAGGGGAAGTTTCACATGAAGGTTACGCAAAACAGAATCTAAGTCAACCGCGTGTTGAGGGTGGGTGTATGCTTCATTTTATTCCGCCACATAATTCATCTTTTTCCCGCTACGAATTTTCAATTTTGGTATTTTTTCCTCAAGCACTATTTTAGCAACAACAGAAAAAAATAATAAGCTCCTCGAGTCACACCAAGGCAAAACAGAATTCATTTTACTTAAACATAGCTCGTCGCTATCCTGACTGGGTACGAGTATTAAATCATATTGCGAACATTTCAACGGCCTTTGTATCAAATGGACCCTCCCAAGATTTATCCAAGATCATAAGAATCGATGCACAACAGTGGCGTGGCGTACTTTGCGATATATCGATTGATCGGTCATTTAAACCTATAGAAAAGTATCGATAAACAGGGTGTTTGCAGCGATCACCTTAATAATCGATTATTTACCACAGCTTCAAACGGAGAAATATTGATAGATCGAAGAAGCAAAAGAATCCGGACCTTTTTGCGAAATTTCCGTGTTCTTTCAGTATTTCCGGACCGCCCTAAAAAAATCAACACTGGAAAAAAAAACCACATTGGATCTAGAGTCCAGACTCTTAAAAACATCGACAAGAAATAGTACTCCTAATTCAATTAGAATCTAGCTTAAATAAAAAACCACGCCTCTTAATTCAAGCGGATTTCGTTTTGATTCAAGCAAAAATCGGATTGAATCAAGAGCATTTTTTCTGGTCAATGTTTTCAAGAGTCTAGACTCTAGATACAAGGTGTTTTTTTCCCGTGAATTCTGTTTCCGGAGTTTCTGAATCCGGACCGGTAGACACCCTCGGTCTATTTGAATAAAATTGTTTACGAAAAAAGAAGAGGAAAAAGAAAACTTTTTCAGCAAAACCCGGAGCAAGCAGGAGTACCATGACGGTTGCGGAGATACTCGGATGATGGAGAAGAAAAACAACTACAAGATTAATCATGGATTCCGGATGTCGGCGAATCGGCCATCAATCATCCACGAGTGTTACATCGGGTATTGGTTCTTCCCGTGTCCAACGCTCCCTAATACAAACATTATTCTTGGACACAACACTTGGAGATATCTGCGCGCGTGGAGCAATTTTATTTT